GAAATGAATATAAAAAAAAGCATAACTCGGAAGAAAAAAGGAAGCTTGACTGCGTGTGAAGAAATGAGTGCATTGAACGCCCATTTAATTGAATATGGCTTCGCGCAAGTAATGTACACTTACAGAGCAGTTGCTACTTTTACTAAGGATAATTTAAAATCACGATAAAGAGAAAGAGAGTAAATGATGTAGTGAGTTTATCATTTTAAAAAAACTCCAAGATTTATTAATTACATAAATAACTATTCTGTATTTCCATTCGCCGTAGATATAGTTGCATTATAAAATATTAAAAGCTGAAATTTATAATGTAGAAAGAAAATGAAATTATGAATTATTTTTTTTTTATTTCATAAATCAATATTTGAATGTTACTATATACATATTCTTTGTTGCATTGCGAACACCTGGCGTTCCGAGGAGGCGGAAACGAATGCTCGCGGATGCAAAAAACGGAAGTGGCTATGCGGTTTTGAGTAAACTTTGTTTTTATTGATGTTTAGTGTCACATTGACAAAGTACAGGAAATGATTGAGAGCCAACAGAATACTTGAAACAATTGTAATGAACAATCGCTCCTATAAATTATAAATGTCTACTTATATATAGTTTTGCGTGGCGTAGGTCGTAGCAGGAGAGGATTTATGTTCGTGACTCACTTTATAGTGCGTTTACAAGCCGCGTCGTTCAAATTATTATTATCGTATTCAGGAAGAGGGAAATTTAGATTTTTTGCTTTTTTCAAAAAATTGATTTTTCTCATTACTCTGTGAAAAAAAAAATAATACATAAAAGTACATAGAGGTATAATTACATTATCTGACGCAAAATGTGATTAATAATTATACTCTCACAAAGTTATCAAATATTGATATAACATACTTGATTAAATATTTTTATAATGTAAGTACTGATATTCGATATTAAATATCTTTTTAAAATGCTGAAATAAACAATTCATTTTATTAATTAAAACCATCGAGTATTGATAATATAAAAATTTTTAAAGTAAAAAAATCGTAATTTTTTGTAAATAAAAAATTTTCTCAGATGCAAAAGAAAATTGTTAATTCTGTTTATAGAAAATAGATCAATATTCCATTAAACTTTCGTTTAATTCATATGTTTGAAAATTTCAATTGTAATATTAAAGAAAACAATTTTTTTCAATCATAAATTTTATTTTGCTCTTGTTCTTTCAAATTTTCTTGTTTAAATAATAAATATCATTCATAACACATAAAATTCTTATAGTTTAATTATATAAGTTTTATTTTATTTTTTTTTTTTAATTTTCCACTAATGTACAAAGTGTACAAAGCTTTCTCTTTGTGAAATATTTTTGCACACATACAAATTTTCATTTGACCTGAAATTCTAAAAAAAGAAACTTATGACATGTTTTAGAGATGGGAAAGCATGATTTTGATATATTTGAGGTCAAATAAAAATTTATATATATATAATATTGAGAAATTAATGCTTTAAACAAATTAAAAATTTGAAATTAATAAATAAAATAAATTTGTATTATTTTATCCAGTAGGTAAAAAAGTGAATTTAATGAAAAACAATTTTGTTATATTAAAAAAAAAAAAAAATTGATATGTGAAAAGAGAGAAATAAAAAATTATTACTGTAGTAATATAATTTGTTAAAAATAATAATTAAACCAAATGAATTCAATTGACTCGGAGTGTTCGATATCATAATTTTTATTATTTAATACTGCCAAGTGATAAATTCAAAATAATATGAATTCAATTTATTTTTTTAAATTAAAGGTATCAAGATTTTCAAAAATCAAAATTTATTCGAACATATTAAACAAGTATAAAAAAACAAAAAAAAAAAAAAAAAAAAACACAAAGAATGAAAATCACAAGAAACGAAAATTGATGTCAATTCAGACTTTTTCTAGAAGTGAAGCAATATATAAACGACAAATACTGAAGGAAATTTCGCAAATGGGGCACTGGTGCAATTTCGTAACTATTTTGGCCTTTTATAGTGTTTTAAAGCCTAAGGCTCGCAAAGCTAGAGGGTCACGATCTCGAGAATGTCTCAAGCTTTGTCAGAGGTCCTCTTCTTTTTTGTTCTCCTCTATACCTTCTCCTTAATATTTCTTCCCTTTTTTTTTACATTTTTCTGGTATACACTATATTTTGAACTCATCGTGGCAGCGAGAACCTCACAATGCGGGCTATAAGTGGGCGATGGCCAGGTATATATTGTACATATATATAAATCCAGTAATAATTTTATCTCCGCATTTATTGCCCAAAAGTGTTCAGACAACAATGAACCTTCTCTAGTGTTGTAAAATTTGAAATTACATTCAATATTTCTTAAATGCAATTTTTCTCTCAGATCATAAACATTTATTTCTTCGAGGTGAATAATAATATTTAAATGTTGTCAAATAAAAAAAATTTATAAAATTGACAAACTGCGTTCCTTTTTTGAGAGAAATTTTCCATTTTAAATATTCAATATCCTGTCCATTTTTCTCCTCGACATTCAAATATTTTCAATCTATTATTATTGGTCTAAACGGAAATTTGTTGCTATAAAAAATTTAAATATGTAAATTGCACAACTCTTTGTTTAATATATTCTCTAATGAATTTTGTATTTGAGACGTACATTATTAGTGACAGAATCACCTCAGTATTTCTGGACCTGAAGGTTCTTGAACTCTGCTGCGACGCTTTGCAAAATCTTCTTCCATCTCCAAAAATAATATTATAATTCAATATTTTATTCTTTTTATTAACTGACAGTAGCTGTCAGTTAATAAAATATTGATTTTTAATCAGATTCCATTAAATATTTAATGAGATTAAACAAGTTTCATATAATTAAGCTTTGATATATTCGATTTATGAATAATTTACAACCGCGAACTCTACTGTTTTAATCAGAATAATAATATTATATTCTCAACTAGCTGAAGTATATTATAATCAATTTAGACGATCCATTTTAATTTTTCTTTTTAATTAAATTCAATTTTTATAATTTAAATATCCTGACTGCAAAAACATTAATATTTTAGTTAAATTTTAGTTTTAGTTGGCTCTAAACTGTGTATATAAAAATTTTTGAAATTTTGAGCAATGTGTAGATAGAAATTTAATTTTATTAAATATTTTCAATTTCATTAACTCGATTTTTTTACTTTTAACAAAAATGTTTTTTTTTACTGTTTTAACAATTATTGACAATCATAATATTAACATAAAATCAATGTTTTATAAGTATTTTTTTTAATTTAATTTACTTAATTTTTTGCGCGTTATATTTCCTGTTATAAACTAAGATTTCCGAAAGATATATAATATGATAAAAGTCCGGAAATAAATAATAAAGATAAGAAAAATTGTAAAATACTTTTGTTTGCGCTTAAATTTCTATAATGCTATATAAAGCCTATATATAAATAAAAGACGGCAAAAATGGAGCATTTACAGATTTATCCTCGTAAACTTTTACTTATTCAGAGTTCTTAAAGTCTGATTTTACTTATATAAATAAAATTGTAATTTCTTTCTTTTTTTTAATTTAAAAATTTATTTTTTCTATTCGACTGTAAATTATTTTATGTTTTATTTTCTACTTTATTATATAGCTATATTTTATTTATCATTTAATTTTATTTTTGTATTTTTCATTATCTTATAGTGTTTTTAAAGAAACCCTCAAGTTTCTTAAGTGTATCAATTTTTATGAAACTATAAATTATTATTCTTAATTGTCTGGAAAATTTAAACTTAATCTTTGAATTGAAATGAGAGGATCTTGTCTCTTTCTGAAAAATCTATTACGAATAAATGGAAGTGACATAGAAGAAAAGAAGACCTTGAAACATGGAAAGTTATATCTCGATCGAGATTATATGCATGTCGCCATAAACATTAAAGAACGAGTTTCTGGATCCATATATGGCCCGTCTTTGAAAGTCGGGCCAACTCGGGACTTTTTTTATATGTTTTAATAGTTGCATTTAATGAAGAATACTTTGTAAACAAAGAATCAACCGTTGAAGAAAACTATTGCCATTTATCTCAACTTTCCCTGTCTATCAAAATTCACTTCTCATTGTATTATATAAAAACTATTTGGAGAATTAGAAATCGATGAAAATTGTCGCTTCCAATAATTTTGCAATTTTTCGATAAAATTTTTATTTTTTGACTCAGCTTGAAAATGAAGACAAATATTAATTATTAATTTAATTATATCTATTAGATTTCAATATTATAATTTATTTTATTGATAATAAATTACTTTTAAGTGATCGAAATAATTTGTTGTATCATAATTTGTATTTTTAAAATTTTTAAGAATTAAAACTTAACGTTAAAACTATTGAAAAAATACCCAAAAATTAGAAATTTTTTTGGTTTCCTTTCTTTGTGTAATGTATTTTAAATTTATATTTTTATGTTAAAAAAAATTATTTGTCATAATATAGAAAAATATTAGATTTAATATATTAAATTGTTCTCCTATATATACAATATACTTTATATGTATTTAATATAATGCAAGTAGTGCGCAATACAATAAGAATTGTGTAGTCAATAATATAAAAAGAATAATCTCAGTAATCTATAAATGAGAAATATAACTACATATTGAAAATATTTTGAATATTCAGACACGTGATCTATCAAACTTTGTTTTCAATAATAATTTTCCAGTAAAATAAAAAAAAATTAAAGTAATTTTGATTAATTTTAAAATTAGAAAACATTTTTCATATTTCTCATAAATTTTTTATTCAAATTAATATTAAAATAAAATTTTAAATATAAAAAATGAAATTATTAAATTTTTTTTTCTGTAAAATTTGATGAAGGACAAAACTTTATGTCAATTTAAAATTTACATTTCTAAAAATTTTTCAAGACTAGAATAATAAAAAAAATTGTTTCACAATATTCCAATGATTAGAATGACAAAAGCAATTTAAAATATTTTTAAATGTAACTCACCTGTTGAAAGTTTGCTCGTATTGTTTGATCTCTCGTCTTGTAAGTTCGTGAAATTCCGTATAAACATTGATGAATTTGTAGTGTTTTTTCACCTCTTTGCCTTCTTCCAGATCCTCGTTGATCTTTTGGCGCCGGTTAAGCAGGGTGCTAAGCTCGGCGTCAGCTGGCATCCTTTTTTCCTTTTTTTTTTCTTCTTTAGATATAGTTTTCAAGGTCAAGGTCAAATACAAAAAAGCGTCACTCTCCTCCACAAATGAGGACCTTCGAGAGCTCGAGGTTCCTATCGATCGATTAGATTCCTGATGGCAAGTGCGAAGAATTCGAAAAATTTTTCAATTTACTTTCTTTGGATTAAAAAAAAAACCGGAGAAATTTGATTTCAATAACGGAAACAAGTTTAATTCAATTGCCAATAATGTCTAGCACTGTCTAGATGAACTGTCAATCTTGTTTTCTGTTTGAAGGGATGTTTTTTTATAAAGAGTATAGACGTTTTCAATCCGACAAAAATACGTCCGTCCAGTGTGGTAAGCGCGCGTGCACTGAATCTCGGCAACTGTCGGTCGACCCGAACAAACTCCAGGTGGCTATTGAGAAAGCTAACAATAATAACCTCCCGTGGATTTTGTGCTTTCATTTCAAAATATTTTCTGAAAATTGAAAAATTTTTTTTAAACAAGTGAATTTTAATTTTAAAATGAAGTAAATCTTTTTTTTATAATTTATTTAACTACCTATATTTATTAAATTTTTTTTTGATTCATTTTGAAAATTAATTTTTTAATAAATTATTTGTTTATTAGGTCTTTAGTTTATATTTGATTGATAGTCATATTATTATTAGTAATGTTCATGGTTTTTATGACTTATTTTAAAAATTAGTAGGTATATTTACTGTATAATTAAATAAAATTGTACTTTCATAAAATTTGAAGCTATATTACTTTATATTGATAATACTTGTTATAAAAAATACGAATCAAAACAAAATTAATTTGAATTATTTATATACAATACATTGGTGAGTCACTAGTGCAAGTTCAGTCTGATAACATTTCGTACCCTATAATAATTTACATATACGAAGAAGTTTAATACTGAACCCTTTTGCTTTGTCTGACAGTAATTGATAACATGCAAAGGATGAATCATTATATTAGTTGGATAACGCAAACATTTTGATTTTTAAAATCTAAATAGTATTTTAATTTTTTAAAATAGATATATTTCTCAATTTAAAAATAAAAAATTAATTATTTTTTTTAATTTAAAAAAATAAATAAAAAAACTAAAATGTTAAATTAAATATATATATATATGTATTTAAACCTTATGTAGCTTGAATAAGAAGTAATATTTTTATTATTGTAAAATAATATACTTATGTAAATAAATATTAATAATTCAATTATTTAGTTCGAAAAATTATTATAAGAAAGCATACGTACTATTTGAAGTGACCAGCATATAAATATGGATCTAAATATAAACTGGAAATTTAATATCTTTATGTAAATTAAATCAGATTGATGAAGTTATTTTCGTAATAACTATCCAGGAAATAATTTATTACATCTAAAAAATAAAGTGTTAAATTAATCCATTATAAATTAATGTAATGAAATATTACATCTGAAATGAATGTCAATTAGTAAACAATTACCTCATTTATTACCTTCCTGCGTGTTAAAATATAGCCCTTGTGACTTGTTTTGACAGAAAGAGGGTTCAATAATTGGAACTATTGGAACAATTCATTTTGATCGCGTTTAAAATGGAATCCATGGAAATTATATTTTGAGGTTAAGATTTCAAAAAGTTTCAATTACATATATATATATACTTCTGCGGTCTTTTGCTGTTGCTTGAAACAATTATTATCAGTTATAGAACAAGTTCTTAATAAAAAACGTAATTTTTAGTAAAGTAATGTAATTTACCTTCAAAAAGAAAGTACTTTTTCTTTTTAAACATCTTTTTCTTCTTCTTCATCCACCAACATTTCAGGGTTACCAAATTCATTTTTTAAACTTGCAAGGTTAGGTTTTTTTCCGCCATGAAATTTTTAAATTGTTTCATTCAAATCTAGAAGAATTAATAATTATATCCTCTTAAAAGTAAAAAACATTTTTATTTCTAAAATTTAAAATTAAAGATATACGTTAAATATATTTTTTAACTGCAGAAGCATGTTTTTTTCTTATAAAATAAAATTAATTAATTTACAGAAAATTGAGGAAATCACAGAGCTTGGCAATACTTGTGGGTTGGCACTGCTTAAAAATGGCGCAAAATTTAAGATATTGTCAGTTAAAGGTATAAGTAATTAAAATATATTTTTATATAAATAAACATTGTTATTTATTATCTAATATTTTTATTAGGAGAGTTACTATTGTTTCTTTTATTTATTATTAAAATAAAAACATTTTTAAAAAAGCAATAATTATTGAACTTTTTCAGTTTTGGTATAAGGATATTATTAGTATAATTTAAAAATTTTAATTGGAAAATTAATAAGGATTAAAAATTACTTAAATATTAACAATTATAAATCAAATTATTAATTAGAAATTAAAAAAAAAAATTAATTAAATTTTTCTCATCACCCAGTGCAGACATATACCAAGTGTCTTGAAAGTAACGGTGAAAAATTAATATTATTGTTTTTAATTAAATAACCTGTTCAAGTTAAATTAAAAATTTTTAAATAAATAAAATATACACTGAAAATGCCATTTACACTAGTAGATTTCAAATTTTATTATTAATTTCAATTTTATTTAAGTAGACATGGTTAAAAGATTTCTTTCTTATCGACGGATAAATTAATACCTATGGAAGTTAGCTTACCGATAGAGGGAGATTTAAAAATGTCTGTTCAAAGTGTTTAATTCAAAATAAACTTAACTTGAATTTATTATTTTTCTCCAAGAAGACTGTTTTACTTAAACTTATCAGAATTTTAGTTGAAAACTTGTTTAAAAATGTTAAAAAGAATGTAGTTTGAAAAAAATGTTGTATTTTTTAAATATGCTATTAAAAATATAGTTTGTAAACATTTTTGGACAATTGAGGATCAAAATATAGTTTTGTATGGTGAGTATGAAATCCTCGTATAAAAAATAAGTTTATTTGATTATGAGACAATAATTAATATGTTGGAATAGAAATTTACATTTAAAAAGTACAGAGGTAATTTTATATCTAAAATTTAGGATCATTTGCTTCTTTTATTCTTGCTTTTGTCTGACATAACCTAAAAAGTTGTTATTGTATTTATGGTGTTTATAAGATTAATTATAAGTTTTATTTCATTAAAATTTAATGGTTAAAAATAATAGTGTAATTTTCTAAATTACTTTAAAAAGCACAATTAAATGGAAATAATAAGTATATATGTATTTTTTCAAAAGAAATTTAAAAATTCCTTTTTAAAAACTTTTTTTAAAGTGCTAAAAATTTCTTTAAAAGAAACTAATTAAAATAAATTATTAATTAATTAAAATAATTAAAATAAATATTAATTAAGTAAATAATTATTGTTACCTTCATTTAAATTTCTTGCGAAAATACGTATTTTTATTATTAATAAAAATAAACCAATTTTATATAATTTTATTTTAATTTTTACAAGAAACCATTTTTTTAATAGATAATATTTTATTAAAAAATCAATTTTAAATTGTATTTCTTGTATATATAAAACAAACAGATAGGTGCAACATTTACGACAATTTGTAATGATTTGCAGAAAAATTTAATATTTTAAATATAAAATTAATCTATGTATATAATTTTGTTTTAAAATTCATAATTTAGTTTTCAATAAAATTAATTTACATAAGATTGTTAAATATTTTTCAATTTCAACTATATTTAATTCCAGTTGTTTTTTCTAGTCAATTCTTCAAAACTAATTTCTAAAAAAAAGTTTTTTTGGCTAAAAATAAACAAGTCTATAATAATTTCCCTCGCAATAGTTGCTGCGTTAGAAACTTAACAAATTTTCAAAATTTAAGAACTACCAACATTTCTTATTTCGCATTATAACAGGGCATCTCTCTTTCTCTCTCTCTCTTTTGCTTCCTAGTCTTAAAAATAAAACACTGGTAAAAAAAAGTATTTTATTCTTTTTCTTTTAGAATTGAGTATAAATAAATTCGATATTCGAGAGAAGAGTTTTTGAAAATTCAAGTGGCAGTTGTTTGAGGAACTGGTGGTGGAGTGAGTGGAGTCCATCCAGATGATTGATCATCGCCAGTTGAAGGATCGTGCTGATGTTGATGATGATGATGATTATTATTATTGGACCGATGATCAATTACAGTTGTAACAAAGCGACGTTCACTTTCATTAGAAATGTCCACTTCCTCAGGATTATTTGGATTTGGATAAGCAATTTCATGATGATCTTTCGGCGTCTCATATTCTGCTGCAGGTGACGATGTTGCTTCACTGTGTGATTGCAAATGAAGCAATTGCGTTTGATGATGCTGATGTGAGTGATTTTGATGATGATATTCCTATAAAAGTTTGTAATTTATCTTAATAATTAAATAATATTTAATTAAAAAATTTAATATTTTTAAAATATTATTTTTTTTATTTGATATAAAAATTCTATTCTTATAAAAACTATTTTTATAATTTTTTTTAGTTAATTTCTAATTAAAATAAATTTTTTAGAAATATTTTAAACCTGCTGATATTCATGAGATGGTGGTATTGGTATTCCTGGCGGATTTCCTGTTGAGTGAAGAGTTTGATGTAAGCTGTGTGTGGCTGCAGGATACGAGGAAATTTGGTGATGCAAATGAAGATTGAGATTCAAATACGATTGTTGTTGCTGTTGTTGAATTTGATCGGAGACAGAGGACGGATGAATCCAAACCGATGAGTCTGAACAGTGATTTTGTTCATGAGGGGAGGGATTACAACTTGAAGGAATTGTTGGAACGTATAAAGTACAAGCGGCTGTTGTAGCGGATGTTGTTATACAGCCGTGTCTACCTAGAGTTGAATGCGAATAAGAAGATGCTGAAGGTGAGGTCGGCGATGATGACGGTGACGATGGCCACTCTGGAGCTAGGGAAGAATTCAGTGAGGAAATTTGCTCAGGACTTCTGGGGGACCATCCAGTCGCTGCAACATACGCTGCTGAATGAAGAATTGGTACCGGACTGTAAGGATCCACATGCTGTTCTAAAAATTAAATATTCATTTTAAATTGATTCATTTTTTTTTTAATTGAAAATATTTTATAAAAATGAATCATAATTTTCTGATACTAACCATCTTGCATGTACTTGTGCCTTAAGGTGTAAGGAGCAGATCGACAAGTTCCCTTGTGATTTGTCGATGATATGGTACATGAATTGGACATATTACTGGACGAACTGGATACTTGGCTTTGTGCAACAGCAATCGCCGGATTGTACTCGTAACTCATCGGTGTCTGTGGAAGAAACCAAGCTCCTGCATCTGAAATCACAGTTTCAGAGACGTGATAATTAGTTGCACAAACTGCTAATACACACTCATTCACTAATACAATTTTGTATTTCCGATCGACAGAAACGCGGTGAGTACTGATATACAGAGTTAAATAATTTTTTTTTTTTTTGTTAAAGAACAAGACTTTCAAGTTAAAAAAACATTGTCTACAAATTCATGATACTTAAATTAAAATTATTTGAAAAACAATTACAGACATAAAAATACATAGAATTTATTTAATTTCTCTAATATTTTTAATTATATTTTATTTAGTTATTGAAATTAAATTCAAAATATAAAGAAAATTTTTCTATACATACATTGAGGATAAGACTGTGGATCGGTTGGTCTTTCTTTTGCGTCCAAAAAAGCTTTTGCAAAAGGGTTGTATTTAATTTTTAAACTCGTCACTTCTTCATTTTGATATGCTGTCACTGCAATGAATTGAGTTTCGGGAAATCGGTACGTGAGAACCTTGATATCGAATAGAACAAAAAAATAGACACAAGAAATTAATAAATTTGTCTTAAACAAATTTTCTTTGTTTGTTGAAAATTAAAGAAAACAAAAAATACCGTTCTTTGTTCTTCCGCACCCACTCGAACTAAATGAACTCGCGGCTCATATTTGTGTAAGGAATTTAACATTATTTGTCCATTCCCGTTAGATTTGTTTGTTAATTTTACTTTAGCAAACGAAACGGCTTCTTTCATCCAATGAGCACCAAAATTTGGACTCTCGGGGTGAATGTAAATCGGATTTGGTGGAGCAACTTCTGCCTTACCTCCTGGAACCCATTCGCCATTTACGTATTTCCATCTAAACGAAACAAATTATTTTCAAAATAAAAATTTCCTATTATTTTATTATTTAATATTATGGTGATTTAATTTAATTATTAATTAGTAATAAATAATATTAATTCGTACGAATCTAAAAGGTATGAACTTTAAAAGTAATTTAATTAAATTGGCAGTAATTTTAATGGATAAATATGGGAAAATATTTTTAAAAAATATATAAATGTAATTTACAAATTTTAGATAGAGTGAAATTTATTAATTATCAATTAACTCACCTGTGAGGATCAATTTGTACAAATTCTAAAAGTAATGTATACATTGCCGCCGGCTCTAATCCGCGTGCCACTACTTTGACAACAGGAAACATTCGTCTGCAAAATTAGCAATTAAATTAATGATTGATTAAAAATTATTAATCAATTAGAATCTTCCTTAAATTCAAATCAGATGAAATTTTCTTTTTTCTAAATTAATGTATTATAATAAAACAATTAAATCTTTCTAAAAAAAATATTTTTGTCATTCTGAAAATGAAAAGATAAATTAAATTCCCCAGTACCATAAAAATTAAATATACAGGGAACTTATGTTTGAAGAAAAAAGAAAATTTTCAATTAAATAATTTTTTAACTAGTTAGTATACTAAAAAATTACTTTTCAAATGTAAATTATATGAATCTAATATGAATTTAAAATTTATTAAAATTTTTTTTAATTATAATCTTTTATATACTAAATCTCAGCAGAAATTACACTTTCAATTGGAAATTTCACTTGTAAAATTCAAAAAAAAATTTTTTTTAATATTTAAATGAACTGTTACGAAATATATCTTGACGCATAAAATGATACGTGGTTAATTAATTTCTTTATTTTAGTATTTTTTTTTTTTATAACTTTAGAATAAAATTTTGATTTTGGTTTTAAAAGAATTTTGTTTGAACTCTAACACTATATATATAGTAGACTTTGAATTGAAACATTCTAACACTGAGAATAGAAGAAAAAACGTAGAGCGGCATTTTTACAAAGGTACCGAAATATGTCTTGCGTGTAATAAAATTTTATTGCCCTGCATTATTGTTACATGGTCACGCTCTTAGGCTTTTATTTGGAATAAAACTTGATTTTTTGTTGAATATGACGCGTGGTCCAGTCACCTTTCAACATTTATTGAATGATTAATATTTATCTTAATTGGCGAATTTAAAAGAATAAATAACTTTGATTTCTTATATATATATATGAATGAGTTAATGTTTTTGCAGATTTCTTTCTGCATTTTTACTTATTATAGTTAAACTGATAAATACACGTGTTCTCATGTTTAAAGAAATTGGTATTTATTAAATAAAAGAACACTGATTTTTTACTTTTTATTGCAACTTTTTTTTAGGGCTTTCTTTTCTTTTTCTTTACATATATTCTTCATTTGTGTTATTTTCTTCTGGTTTCTTCAGCGACAGACTCTCTATTAATTTAATATTTGAAGCGGACGATTGTTTCTTTTTATTTTTACAAATAGAAGAATAGAAATAAAATCTTACCTTCCATTTTTTGTGACGATCATCTCATTCGTGATGCACTGAAATCTCGTCCACAATTCTCTATCTTCTAATGAAAGCGAAAGAGCTTGATTATTTGATATACATTCTTGTGCACTTGTTGATCTTGTGTTTCTTTCATCTCGTTCATCTCCAATTCGATCTCTCTCTCGTTCACAGCAGCTCGTGGATCGCGGTGAATTTTCCGCAGAATTCTGCATTCTTATATATTATATCTTTTAATAAAAAAATATATGTAAATTACATTTTCACATTAAATTTATTTCCTAATAGTAAAAAGGCGTGACGATTTTTCTCAACAAAACAAACAATAATGCTTTCGATTATTTTTTAAATTATTAATTAATTTCATTATTTTCTTTTATCAGACAATAATTTTCATCAGTAATTCATTTTTAATGGGAATTAATTTAAGTATTGAAAATAAATTTGAATTAAACGCAAAACCGAGGGCAACAATGACGATTGGTATTATGTAAAGATTAAACAAGGACATCCATTTTTAACTTGGATGTCATATTTTTAATATGTTAATATTAAATAATAATTAAATAATAACAATAATGTTAATAGTTAATATTTTTCACATTGTTTAAGAGAATATTTTTTTGGAAAAAATGATTTTAAATAGACTAATAAAATTATACTATATTGAATCAAGAAATTCAGTTTTTTAATAATTAAATAATTATTATTGTGAAATTCAATTGTTATGTAATTTAATTATATTAAACGATTTCGAAGATTTCGCAATCAAAGTCGCAATATGGTAAATTTTTCATTTTTTTCATATTTCTTCACATTTTCATAATTTTTAAACAAATAATTGAAGCTACAAAGTATAATTAAAAAAAATGAAAATAATTTAATTAACAAAAATAAATTAACATGGAAAATTTGAATTTACAAAATTATAGAAATAAATAAATTTTAATTGCAAAATTTTTTTTTTTTGTTTTTTAAATAATAATTTAGTTTGTATACAACATGAGAATGATTCAATTTATTAAAAATTTGAATTTCGAAAACAATTGAATTTAAAATAATAATTGATTTTCAAAAATAATTGAAGGAATTTAAAATTCAACAAAATAATCTATAATTATTATATAGCTTTAAAGTAGAAACATTATTAATGTGTTAAAAAAATTCTATGTTTTTATATTCATTTATTTAGAAAAAATTTTAATTTTTTTATTTATTAAACGATTTCGCTAAAAAAAATTGTTTGACAAAGGTTTTTTTTTTTTTTTTTGAATAATTGCCTCTTTCTTTAATGCAAGAAAGACTTCATACATATAAAATAATTTAATTGGCAAAATAATTGAATATTAAAATTGTTAAATTTATAAAGAAATTTTTTAATTAAAAAAATTATTGAATTTAATAAATTTGTATTTCAATTTTTAAATAATTTTTTTTTATTAATTTTTTCGAAACTTAATTATTGAGAGAGAATGTCTTAAGTATCCCTGTTATTAGTCACTTGAAAAAAGAAAGAAAAGAAAAATTACAATTGAAAGAATTTAACAGTAGTGTGAGTAAAATATTTGCTGAAACAAATCAAATATTGTTTTTAATGTTGCATCTTGAAATTTTGCAGAACATCTTGAAGGGATCTCAATAAAAAACCGGAACGATGAAAATGGATTAATATACCCCTTTTTGCTATGAGGATATATATTTGGAGAATGATCTATTTATTTATTTATTTTTATGATGAATTTATCAATTAGAGACCGATTTAATCAGTCGCTCCCGGGGCGCCGCTATACTCTAACACTTGGCTAAACAAAGTAATTATATACCTTTGCAGGTGAGGGTATACAATATACACACATCCGTCGCACAATGTTTTTTAGCAAATCACACGTTATAGATTTTGATTATTATATATTCTCGTCAACTTCTCGTGGCTTGTGTTGCTTGTAACACTTGGGCGCGATATTTCGCACTAGCTGGCGAAGAAAACGTTGGACTCGCATCCTCCAGTTCCTTTGCGTTTGTTGTATCATCAATTGGCTGCCCACTTTTCCACCTCTATAGACGATAATCAGACTTAATTAGTATTGCTTAGAGTAAAAAGATGGCTGAACAACTTGCACCATTGGCGGCTCGATTCATGTTTCCGGTAGCTTGAGACCATTGGTTTTTAAACCATTTGGTTTTAAGTTGAAGGCACGCCTTTCAACTCACATCGTGCCAATGGTATAACGATAATATTCTGATTGTTTATTTTTGAGTTAGGCTTTTTCATCGTCGTGAGACCGCCCCTCGACTAATATGTAAGAGATCCATTGTTCACCGTCGCTTCTTGCGGTTGGAGAACCAGAATCTCTTCTGAGTTCTCATCCCTCAAGAAGAAGAAGAAGAAGAAGATAATATTCTTTTTCACAAATTTTCTCAAGATGCGCCTAGTCAACATGCGACGTGTTACGAATTAGATTCTTTCTCTCTTTTTTTTTTAAGAAGTCGATTTTTATAGATTTGAAAAAAAATGTTCCTCTTCTATGTGTTTTCATATGATAGCTTCTTTTGATAATTTTGAGATTAATAGAAGTGACCTGTTTTTTAAGCAGAGTGAATTTTTGTGCATTTTCGTAGGATACAAGTGTGTCAAGGTATCGTTTCAGATGTTTTCTAAACGTTGTAATTATCATTTTCTCCATCTTAAATGATTTTTAAATTATTTTTATGATTTTTCAAAAATTAAGCATTAAGGAAGTGAAATTTTAATCCATTAAAATTTATATTGTTGATAGGCGTAAATTTTGTTCTCGGATTATTAAAAATTTTAAATTATTCTATTTATTAAAATTTTAATTGTTAAATTTTATTTTCATCATTTTAGAATTTTAATTTTTGGAAAAATTGTTTAGAAATGTCAGTTGTTTTTCGGCATTCTTTAGAATCTTAAATAATTTCATTATGAAAAATTAAAGAAAACTAATTTTTTTTCTTGAAAAAATTAAAATTTTTTAAAATATATACAGTTAATTATTTTGAATCATGAAGAAAAGCGTAAAAAAATGGACAATGAAAAATAATAGAAATTTTGAGAAAAAGTTCAAATTTTAATTTTTAGATAAATATTAATTTATATTTTTATATTATATATTATATTATTATTAACATTTATTTCAATTAATTTTTTTTAAAAATTATTTAGCACGATTCTTTTTGAAATCGTAACAAATAATTTGATTTTATAAAGAATTCTTTGATTTTCCGATATAATAAAAAAACATAATTGTTTTACAATTTATCAAAAAAATTTTGAAATTATGAATTTTATTATAAGATAAAAATTCTTGATTTGAAAGAGAAAATTTTGATTCGGTGAAAATTTGAACTTTTCATTTAAGACAATTCTAAGACAATATTTAAAAAATTAAGGTCGTTCGTTTTATTTAGTTATCGTTGCATCGTTACTCTTTTTTTTTTTTTTTTTTGTTTTAGTCATTAAAAGATAAAAGCTTTCAAAATAGCCATACGGAATATGGATCCTGGATCTAAAACGCGTTTCAGGCTAAATCACAAAAATCAACATCTATATATGTCTGTAGCGGAGCTCTCGTCTATATTACGAATATATTTGACGAGGAACATATGTTTGCTGTGTTTTTTTATTTTATCTCACAGACATTTTCTATTTACTTTAAACATTTTTTTTTTTCGAAACATGTTCAAAATCATTCTAAAAAATTTATGAGGCCGTACCTTAAATTTTACCTTGATTTTTTTTTTCATGTGAATTCTTTTTTACTTCTCGTATTCATTTTTCTGCGTATATTTATAAAGAATGGTCATTTTTTTAAATAAGTAAAATTATTTTCTATTATGATCATTTTTCTTGATTTTTAATTTCAGTTTCTATAAATAAATCAAATTAATATTTTTATAATTCTGATAGAATATCTCTCTAATTCTAAATAAGTAAAAAATTTGAATTAGTGACTAATTTTTTATTATGAATTAGTTAAAATTTATTAATAAATTGTATGCAACTGCTACTGAAAAGATAGAAAATTGATACGTTTAGATAAATTCACAGCATGCATAACATGTATATTATCCCTTTTTTTTAAAGATAGTGATGTCTCAATGGTCGGCAACGTGCCTCAAATATATATATATATATATATATATATATATATATATATATATATATATATATATATATATATATATATATATATATATAATAACATAATATAAATCTTGTGGAGGACATAAACATAAACGCATAAATGCAAACCAATGTACCCTTCGGCCACCCATCTTTTCTTATATATATATATATATTCAATAAGCAGACGGCGCAGGTGTTATAAAATCCTGGAGAATCCCTCAACAGTTTCAACGGTAAACATTGATTAACCCAAGAATTTTTATGACATCTATCCATTATTTGACTAGCTACCATTAGAAGGCACTCTTATCTCATCCTTTTTTTCCCCTTTTTTTTTGTTGTTGTTTCGTTTAACCTGCCGCGAATTCCCTATCGCCATAGACAATTTTCCAAAGAAAATTTCTTTCACAATATATTTCCATGGATAAATGAAATTATATTTAATTATTTAATTTTCTAATTAAAAATTAATTTCATTATATTTCACTGAATAATTTAATTAACTTAAATTTTTTTTAATGATTTATTTTCAAAATATGCGTTAAATTTCAAAACAATGCTAAAGTTTTCTTGAAAATAAATTGTTAATAATATTAACTTCAATAATAATCTGAATATCAATATTAATTACATTGATATAACAATACAAGTATAGATATACAAATAACTAAACATTTGATTTTTTTTTTATAGAATGTAGAAATAAAAAATTAAAATTAAACAAAAATTAAAAGAAAAACAAAAAAGAACTTGTAAAAACTATTGAAACTTATATATTTACAAATCATCTTTGGAATCAGTTTTTTGATTTTTTGAACTTTCAGTGACTCGAAGGTCTAGACCTTCGGAATCATTGTTATTTTCATGGTTTTCATTTAATTTGTTACACTGGCAAGAGGTGCAATTATTTGTTGAATTTCCAATATTTCCCTTGTGAAGAAGAAATGTCGGTGAATTATTTAAATAAGCAATTTGAACATTTTGCGGTTGAACTGGTTCAATCCATTCCTGTGATAATCCATTACGACAGTCCATTATGGCAGCATATTTCTAATTAATTTTTAATGAAAAAATAAATAAAAGTAGAAAATAAATTCTCGAAATTAATAATAATAAAAATTAATTTCTTAAATATTAATTTTAAAAATCATAATTTACCTCATCAGTAGAAAAAAAGAAAATTTTTCTTTTTCTATAAAATAAATAACAAAAAAAAAAAAAAAAGACTTACAGTTGAATTTTCTGATGAATTGGATGTGGAAAATTTTGGTATTATGTAATAACAATCTTCAGCCATAATTCGTTGCAAAACTTCGCCATTTCTCGAATTCTTTGAACTGCCATTACCATTTTGGGATTTAGGAGAAAATGGAAAAACAGGAGTGGTCATAAAATTTTCCGGGATCAGCTGAGAAAAAAATATTATGTTAATTACAATATATATATATACTACGATTTATCATATAAACGTTTATTTCCTTCAACGTTACTCACAATCGTTTCATAATATAATTAATAAATCGATTGATATAAACGCAAAAAATGAAAATTTTTTACTTTCTTTTTCTTAGAGAAAAATTCACTTTTTTCTTAAAAAAAGTACCCCCCTCCCCTTCTCCCTTTGAAAATTCATACAAAAAATCAAAATTACATGAAACAATAATTTGATTCAAAAAAATAATTCACTTTTACAACTTTTTGAAATAATATTATTTCCCTCAAAAATTACTGTTTTTTTACACTTTTTCTGAAACAATATTTTAATCCAAAAAGTTTTTACGATTTTTTTTTATTATTTTATAACTTGTAATTTGTACTTGTCAAATTATAATTAACATTTAAATGAATTATATTCTTCTTATAGCTCATATCTGAATGAATAATTACATCTTGATTTTTTTTTATACACTAATTGAATTCGACGAATATTATATAATATATAGTCAAATTGTGAATACTGATTCGTATTCTTTTTAGCTTCCTGGAAAAAAAAATGCCAAGTGATTAAGTCATTCATTAATAGATATCTAATCAGCATAATTTGAAAAAAAAAATTAATTTGTTTCCATATATAGGTAATAAGTATTATTAATTTTAAAAATATGATAGCGATTTGCAATAACGATCGAAGAAGATATTTGCCATTAATTTTTTTTCAATAATGATCAAAACTATTCAATTAAATTCGACAGTTATATTATTACAAATAATAATCTTATTATAAATAATATCTATATTTAAACAAAATTCGAAACTAACCCTTGGGGTTTTTCATATACATTTGATATGTATTCATATACAGGGTGATAATATTAAATATAACTAATAATATAACTAATTTGAAAACAAAGAAATTATAATGAAAAATGTTGACTAATTTGGCTCGAAAAAATTTAAAAAACTTAAAATTAATTTGATTCTTTATAATTAAAAATCAAATATTTTCATGAGAATGAAAATTTTCTCTGAAAAAAATTTAATTTTTTTTTCTAATAAATATATTAATTTTCTTGTTTAAAATAAAATTAATTATTTAAATAAATTCGCTGTATACCCTGTAAAATGAAAAAATCAAATATTATCGAGGTTTTTTTTTTGATTCGATAATAATATTCTCTGTAAAATATAAATCTTTATCAAGAAGAAAAAACCTTATTAGCATTGTCAAATTTGATTCGTACGTTACGATATGAAAGTTTAAATCTTTCTATATTCCTAATGATTATTAGAGTTATTCTGTTTGTAATGCTTCTTTCTATTGATGATTTTTTTTTTTTTCATAGGAACTAAAAATGTTACATTTCTTATGAATTAATTGTTATTTTGACAAATCTATAGCTAATTGGTATTTCGTTATATTTTTTTTACGCACATTAATCCACCACTGGTACCTTTGATCTATTTTCAAAAAATACATTATTAATTTTTTTTTTTATTTATCTTTTTTTTCATTATATTATATTTTATGTGAAAGATTTTTTTAGAAGGAATCCATTAAGGAAATTTTGTCACTAGATTCTTTTAAAAGCTTATATTAAGCTTAATTTATTAATTAAAAAATAATAATAATCAAAGGCACCATTTTAAGTGAAATTGTCGAAAAAATTCTAAGATCATTTTTCATAAATTAAATAGCATCTGATCACTTTCTCGCTTGTCTTTTGTCTCGTCATTCATTATATATGTATACTGTCACGCTTTAACATTTTTTCTTATAAACGTTTATAATATTATAATTTAAAAATTTATATATTTAAAGTTATAATTTTACAAACGTTTCACTTTCAAATTAACTCAAATATTAATTAACATTCAAATCCGTCGAAAATATAACGACGATTTTGATTTACGTAGGTACTATTTGTTGAAAATGTGTGTGTGTGTGTGTTTTTTTCTCAAAGTAAACATATTGGGAGACTAAAATTTGATTATCTTCTCGAAAAAATTAATTTTCATACACGCATAGCTCCATCGGTTTTTTTTCCATGAGTTTAATTCTATTCCTTGAACGTTGATTATGAAACTCAAATTAATCAATTAATTTTTGATTTTCAATTTTATGAATTTTCATTGGGAATTTTTATTTCATTGATAAAAATAATGTTTACTTAAATTTTTTTTTAATCATTACAACGTTTAAGGAAATTGAATCATAGGACCCTAAATAATGTTCTCTCGGACGCGAGTGACCTTCTAATTAATAATTATAATCATCACTAAAATTTTGATTTAATCACAGTAGGACAATGATTAATCTCGTATTTTTTGTGTATACAACAAAAATGAGATTCAAATTTTTTCTACTTTCGATAAAATTTGTATCAGACTGAAAATATAACTGAGAAAGAATTACTATTTTTTTTGTTCTGCGAACCCAAAATAATAGTTTTCAAATAGAAATTGTGTTTTTTCTATTTTCTTCATTTTATTACATTCTTATTAATTATGAGGAGGTATTTTTTTCCTTTTTATATTTATTTCACATTTTTTCTTCATTCTTAATTAAATTGATAATTGTTTTAAACAAATTAAATTAAACTGTTCCTTTATCATAATTTTTTTTTGCGCAAAAGAATTTCTTCACTGATACAATATTTTATCGAAGATTGTTGTTCGGCATTTTACATTATCTTTGGCATTGAATGCAAGACGAGGAATTTTCTTAAAATACTAAAAATATTTGGAGCAAGAGATTCGAAATACTAAATTTCGATGTGACGGTAAAATCGTTTCTTTTTATTTATTTTTTTTTTATGTAAATTGGTCACTTTTGGAAAGGTATGATGAAATCGAACGACTCGTGTGTGTCTAGTTTCGATTAATTTGTCTCAATTTAATTTCTTAAAATTAAACAAAGAAAGAAAAAATATTTTGTAAAAAATCTATAAAATAGTTTTCATCAAATTATTACAAATTCATTTATTGGATAAAATTCTACTTATAATTTAGAAATTGAAAAATATTTGTAAATCTTCCAATAAATATAATGAAAAAAAAAAAAGATAAATTAAATGAGAAAATAGTTTTGAATAAAATTTAATAAATAAATAAATAAATTTAATTTAATTTAATTAATATAAAACTAAATTTATTAATGAATAATTTTATGAATAATTAAAATGAGACAAATTTTAATGAAGTTTAAATAGGAAAGAGTGAAGTGAAATAAAAAATTTGGTCCCATTATAGGTACAGGATGGGTTGCAGAGCGTGAATTATTGTAAATCATTGTCAATATATATTTATATATACATTACGGATATTGTACATATATTTAATATAAGTACTTTTATATAGACATAGCCGTAATGAAAATGAAATTAAAAAAGACAAATTTAACGCCCACGAGACGTTTTAATTTTTTTGTTATGTCTATGCACGTAATAACATTTATGTATAATATATGGACCTAGATATCTACTAAATAATTTATATTCTTTTATCACATATTTAATTCTTTGATAATAAATATTAGTAACCTATTAACAATAATAAAATTGTTAACACATAGAATGTTCCGGATTTTAGGATTTTTTTCATCATTCTTTGTTCTTATTTTTTTCTTCTTTTTTTTAGTATCATTGACTTATAATAATTATTAATAATGTTCACATGTATTTTCCGGAATTTTGTTTTGATTTTAAAAGTAGTTAAGTAGATAATAAGTTATCTATCAATAATAATTCATCAACATTTCTTTTTTTTTTTCCCATTTTTTTCTTATCTATTTTCCATTTGTATAGATATATTTATATATGTATATATATATTTATATTTTTTTTAAACAGATATCGATCTATTCATCTATCGTTCGTTTTGGCTTCCGCGAGCTAGTGATTTACCACGAGCTCACTTTCATATATATATATTATTTATTATATTTTTTAAATATATTTATAATGTATATTTATTATAATATACTCAGGTAGGCAGGCGAATGAATGTGAGTTATGTGAATTTTCTTTTTTTTATTATTGTTTACTAGACTTGACTTTCTTTTATTTACGTTTCTCAAAGGCATATTGTGCGACACTATATATTGTCGTTAAACTATAAACTTCATTTTTCAAAATTTTCATAATTCACCCTCATTCACATTCCTGTTTTCACTCTGCGAATAATGGACGCCTTCCTTTTTTTTAAATTGGATAAATAGATTAGTTACGAATATCTACTTGTAAGACGAGAACGACGAGATTGGTGTATAATAATTTTTATAGGGCAGATTTCAGTAATAAGAGACTTTTCAAAAAGAAAAAATATTTTTCATTAATTATTATTTTCAATTAAATAGAATGGCGTTAAGTATAATTGAAAATCAATAGAATGACATTTAATTAATTAATCAGTTAATTTGTTGATTGAGTTTCTTTTTGTATTATGTAAAGTTATTATAGTATTTTTATAAAAGATAAACAAATTGGGAATTTCAAGTCATTTAATTTTGTCTCATATTACCGAGTCGTTAAAAAAAACGACTTTTTCTACCTTAGTTATTACTCATTTCATTTTAATTAATATAATATTACTTAATATATCCAGTTCATCGAAAGGCACAATTTTGATAACCAATTGAAATTCATATATTAATAACGATTAAATATCGTTGCCGCTCATTTCCTTCTCCTCAGTCTCACTAAACAGGAGGGAGCAATGTTTTTTTTTTTTAAAAAAAGAAAAAAAAAGAATACATTAATAATAATATCTAAATCTATTAACTGTCGCCTGTTAAGTATTTTCACCTAAATCAGTGTCGGACAATATATATATATATATATATATACTTTCAAAATACATCTGTATTTGAATACATTTATTATACAAGTGACTAATTATTATTCTTGCAAAAAAAAGTCAATATTAATAAATTTTATTTAAATTTTCGAAAATTACAATTTATTTTTTATTCTACACTCATAAAGAGTGTAATTTTCATGTTTTTGTATTATATCATTTAAATATTTTAAAATTATAAATTTTTTTTTGAAAAAAATTTGTTATAATAAAAATTATGCAAAATGAATATTATTGACAATTAATAGAAATTATGTACTTGGTACACAAATCATTGTAAAATAAATGTATCCAAAAAAAAAAAGAAACAAAATATAAAAACAATCTATATTTTTTTAATTAAATTTCACTACCTATCACACTCACGCAAGGACTGTGCCAGCGTGGTGCCGTCGCAGTTGGACTTCTCGTCTCATTATAGTAAGAACTCAAAGTGAGATTGCCAAAGTTATTAGTCGAATTGTCACAATTATTAACTGTATTTGGACAATTATTATTGCTATTAACTTCAGGAATACCATTCTGTCTAATATCGTCTATCGTCGATACACGTGTCGTTAAATCAACTCCCTCATCGTCACAATTATTTCGATCACAATTATTACTTACTGTTGCATTGCTGCTTTCACCAACCATATTTGAGAAAAATTCTGATCTCGAAAACCTGCCAATTTCCGTTGAACCAAAAGCTTGATGAAAACCAGGCAGAGGTTGTTTGCAATTCATTTTTTGATGTTTCACCTCAACTCGTTCTACATATTGTTGTGTTGAATTTGTTTCAATTTGATTATGATTTTCCTGTTCTTCTTTTGTTGAAAATGTATCTGACGATGATTTTGAGGATTTTGAAATAAGATTCGTCGATGATTCAGAGGGGCCTGATGCTGAAGTTGTTGTACTCCATTTTGGACCATCGTCATTACATTTTTCCTCATCTGATATTTGTTGCATACTCACTGGCGAGGAAATCATTTTTTCCTGATATAATAATAAAAAAAATTCATTATTTTTCAATTTAAAAATCAGTAAAAAAAAAAAACATTTTTGTTTAAATTGAAACAAATTTTTTCTCATTTGAAGAATTAAATTTACCTGGTGATCTGTTTGACGATAAGAAGAATGGAGTCTATGATTGATGTCAATTTTATTCGATCCATAAGGAAGCTGCATCTCATCAGGGAAGACGCAATGATTTTGCTGATCTGGAATGAAGACCATATGCCTTGGACCACGAATCATTGCATTTTGAGCTGTAATTTTCAAAATTATTGTTGTCAAGAATTCATTATCTGCTTATTATTAATATATTAATATATATATATATATATACTTACATAAAGGTACTCCACAAAATTGAGTCCAATGGCCAGGATGAGGATTCGAATTCTGCATATTACGATGTAAATTGGTAATTTTAGATGCCGGAGCTACTCTCGTGTGATAAGCGTTCGTACCATTCTATATAGTAAATGTTAATTTACTGAATATATTTGATTACACAATATTATACAAATAAAATCAATTAATATATAAATTAGAAAAAAAATGTCGTAATAAATGTATAAATTTTCAAAAAAAAGACTTCTCTTTTCTAGTTTTTTAAAATCCCTTATATTTCGCCCAGTTCTTTTAAAACTAAATTAAATTATTTGATTGTAGTACATAAAATTAGTAGGGTATTGTTTATTTATATATTCGCGATTATTAAATAATCAAAAAGTAAAATATATAATATAAAATTAAAAAATCCATTGTCACCTGATAAGGATACCATTTTTGTCCTTCAGGGAATTCTCCCATTACGCAATAATCGTTTCCATCCTGATTCGTATTTGGATTTCCAGAAGCTGTTGGTCCATGAGATCCAAATTCACCATAAATTGGCCCCGGAAATCCTCCTGGAGGCCCACATTCAATTTGCTTACGTATCACATCTTTTGTTTTATCCAAAGTTCTTTGATGAGCAGCCAATGCCTATAATTTAAATTATATTCATCGATTAAAAAATAATTTAGAATAAATGAATAAAAGTAATGAAAAAAAAAATTTAATTATATATATAGTTAAAATTTGTAAAAAAAAATTAATTTTTGCGAAAAACGAATTAATATTATCAAACAATTATATACTAATTTGAAGATAATTATTAAATAATTTATTTATCTTTGATGTAAATTTATAAAGACTATACATGATATATGTAACGTGTATCAATTTTAATTAAATATATACACAAATTATTTTCACTAATTTATATATTAAATTTTGATTATTAAATACGAATAATTGGAGGGTTAATAATGTGTTTGTTCCTCCAAATATTATAGTTAATTATGTATTTTGAGCCCTTAAATATTAAATTACAAATTTTACAATTTAACTTTTTGAGTTGGAAACAAATAAAAAACGTTTATATAACAAGATGAACAAGAGATATGAGGATTTATAAAATTTTCTCAAAATTTTGACAATTAAAAAATTAGCGAATATTTCAATTTAATAATTTTTTATATCCGTACAATACATTTTTGTCAATTATTTTAGAAAATTTTCCATATATTTACCTTGAAATTTGAAATTACAAGAGAAAAAAGAATTATTTTGACAGTTGAAAAAAGTTATTTAAATTTGTACAAATTTTAATTGTTTACAACATGTTTAATTCACTTATATTAATGATTATTATTTTTTAAAAAAAAAGTTCAAAATATTATAAGGTTGATTTTTAAATTTTTAAAATGTTAAAAATTAACAAATTTTAATTATATTTTTTTTAGAAAAATTAAAAAATATTTATAAATATTACTAATTTTTATGTACTTTCATATTAATGTACTGAAGTTTTTAAATTTTCTTTTAGTAAAATAAATGAAAAATTTTACCTTTATTGTTAAAGTTTTAAGAATATTTGTTGATTTTTAAGACTAATAATTTCTCAGGATAAAAAGAATCGAAAAAAAATTTACTTTAAATATAGAAGAAAAATGGAACTTTTTCGTTTTTCTCCTGAGAAGTTATTAAATCCTCAAGTCTTTAATATTAAAGGTAAAAAATTTTAATATTTCTACTCATACAAAATTAAAAACTTATATCTACATATAAGAAAGTATACATTGAAAGTATTTTTAATATTCTGTAATATTTAATTGAAAAATATTTTTAAATTTTCTAGAAAATTATAATAAAAAGTATAAAAATATAACTATATATATTGCTTTGGTATTTTTCATTTTGTTTTTAAAAAATGGTTTTTTTGTTCTACTTGATACGTTTACAGTGACAATAAATAAATAATTAAAATCTGTTAAATTTTCACCTCCCGTCAGGTAACTTTAAAAATCAATTTTTATACCTATATTATTAAAAAAAATTATAAAATTTTATAAATTAATATAAGTATATTAAACTATTGTCAATAATATTATATTCTTATTTTTATTAATTTTTTTATTATTAATATTCTTTGCTCAACTTTAGGATTCAAATTCCAAGATATAAAAATAGAAAATGTTTATAAATAAATAAATGTCTGAAAATATGATCTCTAAATTTCAATTAATAAGAATTTGTTAACTTATTTTAAATTAGTAAAAATTTCTACTACTACTCAAAATACAATTTTATTTAGTGCAAATAAAAAATTTATATTTAATTCAAATAAAATTTATTTGAAACGAATAAATATTTATAAAACAAATATTCTCATATGGGTGTAATTCAAATTTAGAGAGTAATAATTTTGAATGAAACAGAATTGATTATAGTCTCTTTAACTTTTTTTTGGGAGGGAGGGCAGGATTATTCCATAAAAATAATTAGTTACAATTTTCATTTTAAAGAATTCAATTACATATAATTATTTTTTTGGACGAATTAACCGAATTTTAATTTAGCAGAATTCATATTCAAGAAAATTTTTAGTAATTCGAATTTTTAAATGCCAGAATTTCTAATTCACCGAATTATTAATTTGTTAAATTTTTTTTTAAATTGTGTTGATGGCTAATTTGAAAAATAAAAATTCTTCTAAAAAATAATTATATCTATAATAAAATTCTTTAAATTGAAAATTCTAACTAAATTATTTTTATGAAATAATCATGCTCCCCCTTTTTTTTTTTTTTTTTTTTTGAAATTTTCAACAAAAACGTGAAACTAAAAATGAGAAGAAGGCTTTTTTTGGTAATGGCGCGTTAAAGCTACGTAATTTTTTTTCGTTTTTTTTTTGCTCATATATAGACCGCTGCGACGAGTTTATCGATTTCGTACCCTGGGCGTGAGGATGGGCTTTAGGTGACTCGTTGGCGCGCCGTGACCAACCGGAAACCAAGGGCTGATGATTCGATTTGCGTTGATCGAGGGGCTGCCCGGTAACGAGGACGCTGCCGCAACAGCAACATTGGGTGAGGCGCAGGCCATCGAATGATTCAAGAAATTCCCGGACGACGAGACACTCATGTTGCCACCACCACCACCGCCTCCACCACCCCCATTGCCTCCAGGCAATGTTCCTGATCCTGATCCCGTAACCGCTCCAGTTGTTTGTAGAATGCTCTGTCTAGATAGCTCGCGGCTCTGCTCGCGCATCGCTTTTCGCAGTCTGGCCTCCTTTGGGTTGTAGACGTAATCTGTAATCAATTAGCAAAGCTTTTGACCAATCGATAATCGATCGCTTTTCATGCGCTGCTTTGCAATGCTATATGAAATGCTCTATATCACTTGCAATGACACGTGCAGTGTCACATATATATATATACTCAAAGGAACTTTCTTTTCGACATTTTACAATAATTTATTATTATTTATTCATTTTTTAATTAGTTTCCTTAACAAATAATTTTCTAATATTTAATATTTGTTTAAAAAATTTTATTTCAAGCAAATTAATAACTATTATAGTTATTTACAATGAAAAAAAAATTTTATTTCATTTAAATAATTTCAATATTATCAAATAAATATTTATATCAACCAAATAATTTTTATTTGACTTAAATAAACAACACTCAGAATAAAATTTGTTTGAAACAACCAAATTTTGGTTAAATCAACCAAATAAATTCATTGCTATATACAGTTAAACAAACTTTTGGTTGGATCAAACAAAATTTTATATATGGCTCAAACAAATTCTTTCTTTATTTGAAAAATTTATTAAAATAAATCAAACATTAATTTATGGATCAAATAAATATTTTTTTGCATCAAACAAAATTTGTTTGAAGTATGTAATCAAAAAATTGTGTTAATACAAAAAAAATGATATATATTTGGTTGAAACAAAATTTTTCTTGTGTATTTGAAATAATGTGCAGGGATTTAAAAAAAAAATCTATGTCTAAAATAATTTTTTTCAAGGTCCACCTATTTCGTCGTAGAAATTTTTAAAATGTTAAAAAAAGTATATAATTTTGAAAAATTTTAATTTTTGTATTTTAAATTCTAAATTGGTCGAAAATTAATATTTTTCATTGAATATTACAACACCTTAAGGGGACAAAATAATAATTATAATAATAATATTAACTCAAACATTTTTTCTCAAACTGAGAGAAAAGTTTTGTTTGAACCAAATATACAATTTTTTTATATTAACACAATTTTTTGGTTCTTTTAAGCAAAATTTGATTGACTCAACTAAAATTAGTATTTAATTTCATTTTAAAAAAATTATTACTAAATTTTAGTCAAAAAAAAATATTACTTATTTGTCAAAATTAAAATTTTATTATTTAAAAAAATTAATAATATATCAATAATAAAAGCGCTTAGAAAATAAATAGATAAAATGGTATTATTTATTATTTATTATTATTATTATTATTATTAAAAAGCATATTTTTGGATTAAATTCGTTTTTGAATTTTGTAAATATTATAAACATTTCTAACTCCAATTTTTGAGGATTTGCAATTTTAATCTTTGGATTACTTATTTCAATCTTCGATAGTTTAAATCGTTATATCTTATTTTAATCCATTTTGGTCATTAAAATAATATACCCCATAATTTATTGTATTCAGAAATTATTACATATTTTGTGGTTCAAATAAAATTTTTATGATTGAAATAAAAATTATTCTATAATACATAGTCAAGTTAGCGATTATTTTATAAATAATAAAAAAAAGAAATTTATTTCCAATTTAATGGGAGAAAAAGAATTTAGGTATTTAATTCCAAATAATAAATATGTATATGTATTGTAAGCGTATTAAAATGTCTGAACAAATATAATACATAACCACTGATTTATGTATATACGAATATAATATAGGTATACTCTTATTGATATTTTATTAAGTCAGTGCAGAAACCGCTTTTCACTCCAATTACACAATAATTAGTAGAATCAATAAAGCTTATTATATTTATATCAAATATGTATAAAAATAAAATCGATAAAGAATAAAAAAAAAATTACAAAATAATAATTAGTGAATAATGTCTAAAAGAACGAAAATATTAATTATAAAATTCTTAATTATCGATGAATAATCAAAAATTTAAAAATTATTATTAATAACAATACTAATAATTAATTTATAATTTTATTATAAACACATGAATATTAACTCTCTGAAATGGGATGTAATTTTCAGAAAATTTGAAATAAAAAAAGTGCTGCTGTCAATTTTGACCTAAATTTCAAATTCGAATGTGTGTTAAATCGTTCAAAAGAATTTCACATACATTGGTGCCTTTGATTTTGAAACCGTCATTGACTGACCCTATACATATATGTAACGAATTTTGAACTGTGTGGTGTAAACGTGTAAACCTCGAGCAACCAGTGGAGGGCGAAAAGTGTTCACAGTGATGATAAGATAAACATAGGTTTTCGTCAACTATATTGCAAAGTGTGGCTTTAAAACTATCTCTTTCTCTATTTTTTTTTTTTTTTTTTTTTAATAATCACTTAGGGGAGACCGAGGAGGAAAGTAACAGAGGAGGAAAGTAACAAAGCTTATAACTTTTAAACAAATTATCGGATAGACATAGTTCAAACATATTTTTAGTCGGCACTGTTCCCCCTTCCTCCTCCATAGTGTGTCCGAGCCTGACAGGAAAGGTTAGGTCTGATTCCGGTATGACGTGCAGAAAAAACGTCAAAAGTAAGTTTTCGTTCAAATTTTCAAATTCTCGTATTTCTTAAATTTTATTGTTTTTCAAAATGTGCCTTTCGTTATTTTGTAGCCTTATTATCTGTCTTTAAGTTGTGCTTAAACAAACAATTTAACAGTTGTGTAGTTTTAACTTTTTTGTTGACATACAAGAAAAAATCGACCGAGGAGGAAAGTAACACGCTACTTTTCTCCTGTTGTCGATATTGTCCATGTTTTAATTAATGATTGAAGCAAATCGTATTTAATTTTACGAATAACAGAGATTTATTTAAGAAAAACCTGTGATCTAGGTAATCATAAAATATCTTTAAGAAAAAAAATGAGCTAAATTCATAAAATGTTCGATATATGTGCTAAATATGTCCCATATATGTGCCAAATAAGTATAAAGTGTACTTAAACTTTTATGTGTTCCTAATAAAAATATTTCTAATTAATAATAGTCATTAGTCTAAAGAATTTTACATAATTTTATATTGTTACTTTCCTCCTAGGAGCTTGTTACTTTCCTCCTCGGGGGTGAGGAGGAAAGTAACAGATGAAGAGCTTGCGTAAAAGTTATACTGTGAACTGTCAATTTATTATAAATGTTTAATTCAAATTTTATTTAAAAGGTGAATGTCCAAGCTTTCATTTAATATATTGGACAAATTTATCCGACAAATATTTTTAATGCTAGCATAAAAAAACTGATTTTTGTTACTTTCCTCCTCGGTCTCCCCTACTTGACTATTTATTATATAGAATAATTTTTATTTAAATCATAAAAAGTGTATTTGTCCTACATTTATTATAATAATTTCTGAATAAAGTCAATTATGGGGTATTATTTTAATACCAAAAAGGATGATAATATAAAATGCAACGCTTTAATCCATATCAAAGATTAAAAAATAATCCGTCTAGAGATTAAAATTACAAATTTTCAAAAATTGGAGTTAGAAACGTTTATATTTACGAAATTAAAAAATGAATTTAATCCAAAAAATGAATTATTTTAATTTTTTATGTTTTATAGTTTAAGTTTAATATGCAAATTAAACTTTTTAATACCTCACAGGTGATTGCAACCTATTAAACATTAAAAATTATTTTTTTAATAAAAAATAAGAATTATTTTGCTAAATAAATTCTTGAATAATAATCAAGGTGCATAAAGGAATATAATAATATTGATTACATATTTTTTTAAGAGATAATAAAGTAATAGTGTAAAAATATAAGTAAGTAATAATGAAATAATAATTACTATTATTTTTAATGAAAATTAATTAAAAATCTTTTAAATTTGTTATTGTTTGAAACTACAAATAATGACATTGTTTTCAATACAATATTATAAATTAAATCTACTGTATATACTATAAGCAAAATTCCTGATAAATTTGACTACTTTTTTACTATTTCTTCTAGATGCATAGAGGAAGCCTCAGTTAACAAACTGTAGTATAAAACTATTTCAAAAACAGACTAACAGGATTATATATATATAGTAATAAATACTATTTTTATAATAAATTTATTCTCTAAATTTGAATTAGTGAAAAGTGAGCTATACTAATTCACATTGGTAAGAATTTTTACTAATTTTTAGTAAAAAATATTACTATTTGATTTAGTAGTTAAAAAATTTTTTTTTACTAATATTTTAGTAAAAAGTGACTTAATAATTAGTGAAAATTCTTACTAATTTTAATTAGTAGCTTACTTTTCACTAATTCAGATTTAGAGAGTAACTAATAAAAAAGTTATTTGAATGATTTACTAGTTTTGAAATAGTCACTTCAACTGCAAATATTAGTAATTTTAACTAAATGAAATAACTATACTTAAATTTAGTATACTACTAACTGTGAGTTTAGCAAAAAATAATTCTAAATATGGTACTCTTAACTACTTTTTTTATAACTATACACAAGAGTGATTGTTTTTACCAATCCCATTTTTTTGAGTGTATATATATATATATATATTTTTTTTTTTGTTCTGAATTACCGATAACTAAAACTACAATATTTGAAACAATATTTCAATAATTGTCAATATTATCAAATATCAATTAATGAAACTAATATTGCTTCAAAATATCACATTGATTGTATAATAAATAACTAAAAACAATTTATATTATCCGGTTCTCACTTAATCAGGATCAATATTGTAAATATTTATTTGTACTAAATAATATTGTTATTTGAGTCAATTAAATGGCATTTGTTTCAAATACACAAATTATTGATTCAAATACATTTTCTGTTTATTTAATTCAAATAAAAATTATTTGCTATTCAAGTAAATATTTATTTGATAATAGTCAACACTGAAAAAAAATTTATTTGATTCAAATTCTCGATTACTTTGACTATTATTAAATAAATATTTACTTGAACCAAATAATTTTTATTTAAATTAAATAAATTGTATTTGAACCAAATAATTTCTGTATTTTAAAATAATACCATCTCAAATAATAATTATTTAATACAAATAAATATTTATTT